AATGGGAACTATTTATTTATAACCATTATGGGTTACTTCGATGATTGACAAATGGAAATAATCTTTGCCCTAACTTTTTAGTTTCCAACTTTGTGAGAAAAGCTAGTGGTAGCAGGTTTAAAACCCACGACCTAGGGATTAGGCGCAATCATGAGAAACAATGGCAGAATCCTCAGGAAGTGACTAAATGATAAAGCAGTCATTATGACAAATGACCTCACCGAAAAGGCATCTACAATGTCGGAAATTGGTCGAAATAAAAAACATCATATTTCTCTGTCGAAATGATTCTCAATCGAAAATGGCATTTTGGGGGGGGGGGGGGACAATTTGCTAGCCCGAATTTTCAACTAGGACTTTAAGACTATGGTCTTAAAAAAATTGATCTTTGGATGATCCTTATGAAAGGGAGAATGACCTTTGACAGTTGCATTGATATTTCTAGTTGAAGCATAGCTTCATCGAATGATGGTAAGAAGAGGATTTTGGCAGTTTTAGTCGAATTCTTTCTGCAAGGAGCACTATTAAAACTATAGTATGCAAAAGAACTTAGCGAAAATTGTGTTGTCTCCATGATTTAAACTTAAGTCAATATAAGCCTCTAAGTGGATAAGAATAAACAGTTTTTCAAGGACACATGGAAATTTATCAGACGAAGCATGCATGGATTGGATACGTGGCAATTGTAGCTTAGTCGACTGTTAGAAATAATTATTTTAGGATTTCTATATAAACAACATTTGTTTCAATTTTAGGGGTCTACATTTGTTACATTATGAGAGAAAACTCAAAGTATCCGTGTTAAAGTGAGAAAAGAGTGATTTTTTGGAAAATATATGTATGAGTTCCACTTTATTAATTTCAAGTTAATTATTTCCTTTTCAATGTGAAGTTCTTGTTTTAAACCTCCATCTTTTCTGCATTTCCTTTTCTGCTTTTCTACATTCTAAGCTTTTCAACATTACCTTTACATCATTCATCAAATAATACTTAATAAAACAATAGAAAAACTCTAAGAGATCTTAGAACTTTGTCCTAGGATTCTCTAGTTGATCATGCAAGTAACCTTTAATAAGAGACTAGAGGTTGTTTATCAAAAATCTGGGTGAACAAAAGCGTTACAATTAAATTTGAGTGAGCGAAAATAAAGAAAAAATATTTTTGAGAGATGAAGTAAGTAGTGAGGCATGAGAACTCACGTTTTTGGATGTGAAAATATAAGAGAATGTACCTCTATTTATAGGCTAGAAGTTTGCACAAAAAAGGAAATTTTTTGGGCCCATAATTGATGAGTCAATCAATTGGCATATGCACCAATAGACTGGCTGACCTAAAAATAATCGATTAGAAAGTTTTAAAAGGAAAGAAAATATATATAGTTGTTACCATTCATTAAGATGTCTTATTAAATGTTTAGGGCATATTTTTTGCACTAATCCAATTGATTGGGTACAAGTGCCAATCATTGATAAAAAAAAATTGCCCAAAACTTTTCTAACAGTTCCCAAATCATCTGGCACGACTCCAAGACATTTTTTAAATAGTTTCTTGAGAAAAATAAGTTTAAGAACTCCTTTTAGTGTGTGTGTGTGATTAGCCGTATAAATTTACGATAAAACCTTTACTCTTTTATAATACTTATTCACTCAGACACATTAGGGAGGACTTTCACACACTTCAGGACTTGTCAGAAATTTAAATCTTGTACACACTTGCAAGAAATTTACTTTGAGATGAGGCTTAATTTGTTATACATTTAGGTTCCATCATCAAAGAGTCGTTGAAACAAACATTAAACCCTACTTTTGTCTGCTTAGTCTTATTTCATCTTTAGTCGCTTATTATGCTTACACTTAACTTGTTAGTTGTCATCATCAAAAGCATATCCACAAATTAAAATTTTTCTTTATCACTAACTTGCAAAACATAATTCCAAAAGGTAGTTATATCATTACTTGTTTATGTGAGGCAGGTTTCCTGTAGAACAACTTCTATTTGATCCTAAAATAGACCAACCGCATGCAAAAACAATAGTAAAAACAAAAAGAAAAAAGTTGCGAGCCAAGAAACAGGATATAAAAGAGTATTCTATTTCAAAGAAATAAACCATGGTTGATATTGAAAAGAATAACAATAATAACCAAAACTATAATAATGGCAATGATGCAAACAATGTTGGTGACATGCCATGCCACAATAATCCAAAACATCTCCCACAAATAACTAGACCAAAGGAATGTCGGTCAGACAGAAATGAAAATGACTTTGATACAAATTCTTTATATGAACTCTTTTGCAATATTAGACCAATAGGATCTGTATTGACACCTCACAAAGTTATATGATATTTCTGGTACGTTAGAAGCTCCAGAAACTGAGGAAGAAGTGGTATTCCTAAACTATTTCCACATTCATTGATTGGAAAAGCAAATGAGTGATATCTAGACCAACAAACATCAACAATGACAAACTAGACCGTGTTGGAGAATTTTTTTGAACAAATTCTTCCCTCCTAATAAATTCATTGAATTAAAGATGATTATTATGGTGTTCTCCCATGGTGCAACTAAAACTCTTTGTGGTTGTGAACCTTGTGAGAGATCTAAATCCATGTTAAGGAGATGCCCAAATCACAATTTTGATGATCTCACACAGATTCACGTATTCAAGAATGGATTACAAAAACAACCAAAGTTGCAGCTAGGTGCTACTATAAGGGGTTCTCTCGTGTAAAAGAGCGCAAAAGATTGAATGTATGTGCACCATTTTTATATTCACACCAATATTGAATGTCTTTGACCTAAGCCCATATACGGCAGGATGCAATTGTGAAAGGGAAATCCCTATATGGTTGATGACTTCATCTGTGAAAGATTAAACACTCGTAGAGAGGAAAAATACACCCCTCATATCTATTACATAACCTCTTATCACCTTTTGGATGCAATATCCCCTATTCAGAGGAAGAACCCCTCGATAAAAATGTTATCCAGACCCCTTTCTCCAACAAAGACTTGAACCGTTTCCAATGTCTATTGGTCCATCCACGAAAGTTGATCATCACCTTCTGACACCCTGTCGTTCTGGTGGTCATCTAAATCCATTACCACTTCATTGTAAAATGATAAAAAATAACGACAATAAGTATAAGTACATGATTGCCATTCTATCCACCACATAACTTCATTAGTAGTTAGATCACAACTAAAATCATAATGTATCCTAATATAAGTATGAGTCTTTCCTTATCGTATGGACTTACTCACATGTTATAGGTTAATTAAAGGCAAACTCGGGAAAGAAAAACTCATAGCAACTTCTTTGAGATAAATGCCGCCAGAGGCACCATCCTCTTAAATAACATCATCATCTTTCAGGCTTTCCAACACATCCATACCAAGAACGCTAGTAAAAAAAACAACATAGTAAAAGAAAAAATCAAGATTATTACCTCCAAGAGCCCATACCTTCTAAAATAGGAGGAGGTTGAGTCACCTGAACACGGAAAAGGACATCACAACATAAAAGAAAAGTTTAAGTAAAAAGAATAAAGAAAAAATTACATGTGACCCATAAACCTTGTAAGCAAGGATAAAGGTCGAAAGAAACAACAGAAGATTACTTACAGAGTAGAGATTAAAGGAATACATTAAAATATATATTTTTCCGAAAAGGAGCAAAAAGAGAAATTGATGGCGCTCTACCCCTTTTTATAGGTAACCAAGGGGTGCAGATCTACGTCCAGAATGTAGTAGAATACCATAAGGTGTGATCAACGACTCAAAATTAAATCCGAGTTCCTAACGACACTTGCGTGCACTCGAGTGTTATAACGACGTCACATCTCACCTACAAAAGAGCCTAGGTCTACATGGAGAGTTTACGCCGCGAATCGTGTCAATTACAAGGCAAATATTTAATGCGCATGTTCTCGAGGTCACTTGCCTTCACTCGACACGTCTCCGACCTCGTCTCTATGGTCGGGATCTGCCCGGATACTTTAAGGCAACGGAGAACAACAATATTGAGGTCGATATCAATGCTTGCGTCACAATCTTGATTTCATATCTGACACGAAGGACATGGGAGACAACCGTTCTGAACCAACCAAAAGGCCCAATAAACTAGCCCAATACGGAAAAACCCAATCCTAAACTCTCTCGTATCAAACTGATGAATATGTAGACTCTCACCAGAAGGACACACATTCACTTGTTTATCTTAAGCTGTTGGATCCAATCCAACCATCTCCTGCAATCCACATCGCGCCCACAAGAGATAGTTTTAACCACCAATTATATATAAGTTCGATTCCATGCTATAACATATACAATTTTATTCACACTTATAAAGATACACCTCTCTTTCGTGATTAATGTTTTTTTGTTATAATGCTAACCCTCCGCTCCATCATACCAAAGAATTGCATCGCCTTATTAAAAATCTTTGCTTGGACATGTTATCAATCTCTTGTCCTCAATGTAACACAAATAAGTATATCTAATGGCTAGTAGGCGTAGTATTGGTTTAAATTAGTTTTCATGATTCACACTTTCATTATTAAATGATGAATGATAGTAGTCGTTTGACACTTGCACCTCTTGCCTTAATCAACAACGATTGTAAATTTGGCCTTTAGCATCTTTGTTATAGATATAGACCATGGTGAATGCCAAAAATTGCTTTTTAGAGTAAAGTATTCCATCCTCTTTCAAATCTTGTCGACTTATGACGAAAAAGGATAAACAATTACCGACACTATACGCTCCATAAATTCAACAAACCATCCCCTTGACCCCTTCAATTCAGTCTATCAACCACCTGCATATCCACTTCAACACGCTTCACAAAAATTCGTTTCTTTGTTCTTTTCCGTTAACTCCGCATTTAAAACCCTTCCATCCCACGCCACCGAAATTACCAAAGTACCCCCATTCCCACCGCTACCCTCATTTCACACAGTATCACAAAAAAACTGCCTCTACTTCTATTCCATTTCCATGGCAGTTGGAACAACGCAACTAACTGCTACCACTTTACAATCGCGATTCTCCGAGTTGACTCGGTTATGGAAACTTTGACTCCGAGCTTATTGTTATTCACTCTGCTTGAAATTCTTTCGTCAATGATAGTTCTGTGTTTCGATCGTTCTTCATTTTCACCTTCTGCAGATTCTTGTTCATAGTGCCGTTGATTTGTTCCGAGTTTTGTGTAGATCTGTACCGGTCGGAGCAATCAACGGCGTCGGTCATGTTAATCGGTAATTCTAGGTTTTCAGATACTTCTTCTTTTGCTTAATTTATGCTTACTGTGTGAGATCTATAATACGAAATTGGTTATTGAAGCTTAGTTTTGAGTTGCGAGTTTCATTTGGAGATTCTGTGTGTTCTTTTGAAATGCTGCTTAACTAACTAGATACACTATGTGTATATGGAGTTTCTATTTTGAATTTAGGGTTAAGGGAGTATGTTGAAGTATTATAATTAATGCCGGTTGCCAAATATGGCAAAGCCTCATGTTTGAATAATAGTAGGATTCATTTAACCTAATAGATATATGATCTATGGAGTTCAGGTCTTGTACTTTTGTCCATCTTATGATCGATGCTTACCAACTATCCTTTAATCATGTAAGAGCATCTCAAATAATGTTGTTATGTGTGTTCTTATCCCTAAGAACTGGTTCATTTCCAGTTCCATCATTGGAGCAAGCTGTTGTGGAAATAGGCAGGAAGAACAATTATTCTATAAGAATGGTTATTACTACCTCCTTCCCTAAATCTAAAACTCTCGAGTTTTTTCCTTGTCCTTTTTAGAAGACCTTTTTCAAATTTTCCAACTGCTTTGATTATTTCTTTACCTACTTACATTTCTAATTATGTTAAATATTTTTCTGCAATTTGTAATAAATATTCAGACACAAACATTAACTAATTTCCCCTCCGGAAGGATAGTCTTGCCATATAATATTAGTTGTCAACAAATTTAATATTACGATTAACTTTTCTTAATTTCCATAATTTAATCAAATGGGTCTTTATATTTAAGGACAGAGGTAGTATTCTATAAGAACAAATATCTTACTATTTTTTTTTCCTTCTTAGCATAACCAACAAGATTAACTTTGATCTTAGAAATTCTTATTGTAATTTGTACAGCCTTGTGCATTGGCACTGTTTTTACTTGAGAAGCAATCATAATTCTTATAGCTCTGCTTAGGCTTATGTTATACAAAAGTAATACTTTTTCAGTTTTTTGTCAATTCGGAGTTTTGTAGAGTATCCTTAATAACATGTTTTTGGTTTTTCCCCAACAATGCAGATATATTAAAAAAGGTCCAAGGCTTATTGCTGAAATGGATGCTTATATTGTCTTACCTGGTATTTATGATCAAGTTTGGTGCACATGGTAAAACACTGGAACCTCCATTGCTATCTGCAGCTAGATCATCTTTTAAACACTGGAACTCCCACGGGTCTAAGGATGTGCTTTCTCATGGTGTAGCAACAATTGGAGCAGTGTCCCCGGCCAACCCTCCTTCATACGGTCCTTTCATAAACCCCAGTCACCCCCCTAAAAGTTCACATTTTTCCATCCAATTCAAGAAGAGGAGTGAATGGAAACCTCCAATTTCTGGCTTTAAAGATATTGCTCCTATTCATTCTACGGAAGCTGCAGTCCCTTCTGTTTTGGCTCAGCCACCGTTGACCCATCATGCTTCCAGTAAGTTCTATTCTTAATAACTGCTTAAAGTTGAAAATAAACAATACATTGTATTGTGTTGTTTTTGTGAGCTTCGGAACCTGAAGCTTGTAATGACATAGTTGCGTATTTTCATTCTTCCAGATTGTTGTAAACAAGACATGGTGTTGAAACGAGGCGGTAAGGGTTGCCACTGTGTATATCCCATAAAGCTAGACATTCTTCTTTTGAATGTCTCTCAGAATCCTGATTGGGATAAATTTCTTGAAGAATTAGCTACTCAGCTAGGGTTGCAAAATAATACCCAGATTGACCTGATAAACTTTTATGTAATCAACTTTTCAACATTAAATATCTCAATGGATATTACTCCACACAAAGGCATCAGTTTCTCTGCTAATGAAGCTTCTAAAATAAACTCTTCACTTTCAATGCATAAGGTGCGCCTAGACCCTGGATTAGTTGGTGGGTACAAACTTCTCAACATAATCTGGTTTGAACCTCCACCTCCGACTCAAGGTAGGTCAGGCATTTTTTAATATAAAATATGTTACTGCTAATCACGTTGCTTTGATGTACTTGAATTGCGAAAGTAACATAAAGATGACTGTTGTACAGGTTACAATGAATAGTGCTTATTTATTTGCACCTAGTTTTTAAACTTTTGTGTGTATAAATTACATTATTACAACTTTGCCTTTATTCGTCCCCCTTTTTAATATATTACAATTCCTGCTTAAGTGGTTAAGAAGATATATTGTACTAATTGCATCTAATGACTGTTTTAAAAAAAACATTTTTTCATAGATTTTGTTTTCAACCAGCACACAGCACACAGCAGACAATGCTGATGCTTATGGAGGTTTCTGTACCGTGGAATGTAAATTTGAATTGTGACAGTGAAGATATAATATTTGTCATAATGTTATTTATCCTTGCTTTCTGTATGTGTTTGTGGGTTTACACATATTATTTACTTTTTTACTATTACACACTTTGAGGCCCTGGTGTTTGTTTAATATGTAGTCAGAAACTTACTGTTATTGAACTCAAATAATAAAACAAACAATTCCTTATGCGTTTGTATTTATCAACATATATTTTTGTGTTAATGCAGCACCTACTTTAACTGCTTCGCCAGAGAAAGCACCTTTGTATCATTCACCTACGGCTACATTGAGTTCTTCAAATAAGGGAGGGCATTCAAATCTATTTCTCGTTCTTGGAATTGCAATTGGCATGCTCTTCATTGCAATTGTATCTATATTAATATTCTGTTTGTGCACATTGCTGTCAAAGGAAAAAACACCCCCCATTGAAACTGGTAAATATCACTAACTGTAAATTGGGATCATGAAACTTTTTTGGCATGCAATTTTATACCATTGAATCATTAATACAAAATTAAAATTGTTGACTTGTTTAAAGTTATTGTCTGCATCTGACCTCACTGGAGGTTGTTGGTTGTCATAACTCTTAAGAGAGGACACAAATCTGGAGCTGAGGAGGAATTTTCTTTAGCTTTTGCTGAGAAGCTTAATTGTTCTTTAAACAATTTTATACTGCTAAACCAGAAGTGCAAAGTTGAAATTGCTCACTAAATGTTCTGTACCTGACCTATTGAAAGTTGTCAAATGTCAAAGCTTTCTTGGTTTATTGAATTCACATCTTGAGCAAAATATAGTCAAGTTTTTTTACTTTACGCAAGAGGTTTGCAAATTGAACCGTGACCTGACAACAAGTTCAACTGTTATGCCAAGGCACCTATTCATTTCACCCTAGCATGTTCATATGATTTTGTTGCTGATCTATTTTAGGCCTTTCCTGTCTGCCTTGCCTTATATTTGCAAGAGGCCGATTCCACAACTTGAACCCATAACCTCTTAGTCTCACGGGAAACAACTCTCAATTGTTGTGTCACAGCCTCCTTTTGGTTTTATGCTACCATGTTTTTACAATTTTATACTGCTGAATTAGGGAAAGAAATCCCAAATTGTGGACCTATACATCTTGACAAATGCTATGTCTACTTGACCAATTGAAGGTAGCCAGGTATCAAAATTCTCATGGTTACAGGTCTGTTTGGAGAAAATAGTGATTTTGTTCTCCTTAATTCTTCCTTCTTAGCATGTTTTTGCATTTTACAGTTAGGTAGAATGTAAGATCATGTGCATTTGAGACTCAAAATGCGATATTTATGAACAAATGATGTGCCAAGCTGCCGACGAAATATATAGCAATTCAAATCCAGTTTGGATAAACTTCTTCGAGAAGCATTAATGGAAAAAGAAATATTACAAAGTCTTGCAACAATCATAAGTTTTTTAAACAATAGCTTCTCGTACACATTTGAATTAGCCTCTGCATCCCAATTCTTTTAGAACCTTTCTCATTTAACTTACTGCATGAATATCTACTAGCTTTTAAGGACTTTTTGTATGGGAAGAACCATTAACTTATTTTATTGAGAACCAAAATAGTAAAATGTTTTTTTTCTTCTTTTAATTATTCTTAAGGATTTCATCCACGGTTATACTTTTTAATAAGTAAGGCTTAGTGTAAGATCATATGCTTGTAACATATAGGTTTGTTATTTATGGAAAAATGACATGCCAGCTATTGCTGAAATAAATAATAAATTTAACACAGTTATCTGTAACATTAATATTAGTGATAGTCTTTAGATGTCAATGATGTTTTTATTTTATTTTAGAATCCGTTGATTTCATTTATCTTGTGTAGTCTTGTATTGTATTTTAGTATATACAGCTCACGTTTCTCTCTTTCCTGCAGAAAAGCCAAGGATAGAGAGTGCTGTTTCTGCTGGGGGTTCTATTCCCCACCCAACCAGTACACGATTTATTGCTTTTGAAGAACTTAAAGAAGCCACAAACAATTTTGAACCTGCAAGTGTACTTGGAGAAGGAGGGTTTGGTAAGGTTTTTAAAGGTATCTTAAGTGATGGTACTTCTGTTGCAATTAAGAGGCTTACAAATGGAGGGCAACAGGGTGACAAAGAGTTTTTGGCCGAGGTTGAAATGCTTAGTCGGTTGCATCATCGTAACCTTGTAAAACTAGTGGGATACTATAGTAATCGCGAGTCATCACAAAATCTACTTTGCTATGAGCTTGTCCCTAATGGAAGCTTGGAGGCTTGGCTTCATGGTAATGTAATTTTTTAAATTTTAAATTTGAACTTTTACTTGTGTTATTTCTTCTATTATTTTTCGTGGTATAGTCTCTTTTACTTTCAAAATGAGACACCTTAATTAGATTTCACATTGCTTTATTCCAGGTCCCATGGGAATAAACTGTCCTTTAGATTGGGACACCAGAATGAAGATTGCTCTTGACGCTGCAAGAGGACTTTCGTACCTACATGAAGACTCACAACCATGTGTAATACACAGAGATTTCAAAGCATCCAACATATTGCTCGAAAATAATTTTCATGCTAAGGTTGCAGATTTTGGTCTTGCTAAACAGGCACCTGAAGGCGGAGCAAATTATTTGTCTACCCGTGTCATGGGCACATTTGGGTTAGTCTTGATATCTTCCTTCTCATAGCTTTTATTTTCAACGAATTTAGGTTTAAGGTGAAATGAACCTTTTATGTAGGTACGTAGCTCCCGAGTATGCCATGACCGGACACCTGCTTGTTAAAAGTGATGTGTATAGCTATGGAGTTGTCTTGCTAGAACTCCTCACTGGAAGGAAACCTGTGGATATGTCACAGCCATCCGGACAAGAGAACCTTGTTACCTGGGTTAGTTTCATGCCTTGAAAGCATCTTCCCATGTTTTCTGCATTTTATAATTGGAAGCATTTTGAAGATTGAATTTCAATATGTTCTGTGAAGTTTTCAGTTTCACTATTGAGCAGACTGTAAATTTTTTATTCCATTCAGGCCAGACCCATCCTTAGAGATAAGGACCGGTTGGATGAGATCGCTGACCCGAAGCTCGGGGGAAATTATCCAAACGAAGATTTTGTACGCGTGTGCACGATTGCAGCAGCATGTGTTGCTCCTGAAGCAAACCAACGACCGACAATGGGTGAAGTGGTACAGTCACTTAAAATGGTGCAGCGAATCACAGAATACCATGATTCAGTGCTAGCCTCATCCAATACACAGACCAATCTGAGACAGTCCTCTAGCACATTTGAGTTTGACGGAGCGTCATCAGTGTTCTCTTCAGGCCCTTACTCTGGTCTAAGTGCCGCCTTTGACAATGACAACATTTCTAGGACAGTGGTTTTCTCCGAGGATCTTCATGAAGGTCGATGAATACAGAAAAAACTTGTATGTAACCTTGTAATTAGATTCATTTCAATCCTTGGCTAAAGGTTGAATCATAAGCAGCAAAATTTTCCAACGTGATTGAAGCTTTTAGCTATTGGCAAGTGGATTGGGTGACAAGATTTTAATTAATGAGTAAATAGTGTAGTTGGCAGATTGTGTTTTTTTAGGTGTTTTAGCATATTAGTATATTTTTTGACACAAGCAGATTATGTTAACGGCAAAAAAAAAAGAAAAAGAAAAAGAAAAAGAGACTTGACTAGTTTTAAATGGACATCTATAGTTCGTATACAAAACTTTCGTTTTTGTAAATAGAATAAAAATAGCCAGATTAGTTTTCACTATTTGAGTTCTAATAAAATAATTAGATTCTTACCATGTAAAAATTTACAACAATACAGATTTATTTCATTAAATAGGATTGTGAATCAAAATATTATACTAATATTTTATCAAATACTATAATTCTATCTAATTCATTAATCTCTAATAGTTTAATAGTTGCTCTTTTTTTATTGACCTTTCTCTATTTTTACACTCTTAAAAAATTTACAGATTTTTTTTCTATATTCAAATCATTAAAGTATAGTTTCAACTATTATCATTTTTATGTAAATATTTAATTAGAATTATTTATTGAATAACTGAGAAAAAAAGTTTATCAGAAATAGATATAAGCCTAAAGTTGAGACGTGAGACATTATATCCTAGGGATGATTGTAACGTGGTTTGAACGATTTTAATTTTTGATGTTGAAAGTCATCTGAACTATAAAAGAAAAAACGTGTAGTTTAATTGACTTTTAGAAAAAAATCAAATCATCGCGGTTTACGTTGGTTCGGTTGGTTTATTTTTTCTATAAAAACAATTATTGAGCCATATATATATATATACACCTATAAAGAACAACATAAATTTATGTTTAGTTATTCATACATTATCAAATAAGAACAAATTTATATTTGAAAAACATCTTTCTATTTAATATGCACAAATCAAATTAGACAAAAATGAAATAAAAAACACAAAACAATATAAAAAAATATTATCATGATACAGAAAAAACAGAGGAGAAGAGAGATTAGAGAAGATGGAAGAAAAAATAGAAGAGAAGAGAGATTTGAGAGGAAGAGGTACGATAAAAACGAAATTGAAAGAGAGAACAATAACATAAGAATGAAAAGATGGAAAAAAACACACGAGAAAAGAGATTAGAGAAGAAGATGCGAGATATATTTTGCGAAGAAGATGAGAGAAAACTGTGATATTGCTAGAAAAGATTTGAGTAAGCTGAAATTCAAACCCTAAATGTGAGAAAAAGAAAATCGTTGTGGGTCAAATGAAATTTGGTTTGCAAAACAAATCATAAGCCGAATCAAACCACACGATTCTATTAAAAAATGACTTAAATACATCTAAACTTAATATAATTTTTAATTTTTTTTTGATTTAATTCAATTTGATTAGTGATTTTTTATTAGATTGATTCCGTCTTGAACACCCCTATTATATCTCCTAACCAATTTTTTAACCAACATCTTAAACTTTTTTAGTATCTTCTATTCTCATTATAGTGTGTTTTTTTTTTGTGCATTGACTCTTCTTATTATTCATGTTTCTTTTAATCAATTTGCATGATTGGTGATAAAAAAAAGCATGAATATAATTATTAATTTGGAGTTTTACACGGTTTTTAAAAGTAACTATGTCAGAACTAATGGATATTTCACATTTATTAATCATTTTTCAATCACATAACATGTTCAAACAATCTTCTGCTTCTTTGAGTCTCTCTTCTCTTACTGCTTTCAAACCCTCATAAGATCAGTTCACATTCCCTATAAAAAATCCCGCCATCATGGTCGGAACCAGACATGAAACAAACACCTATGGAAAAGAAAAGAAATCAACGAAAGATACCAAGAAACCTATTATGGAACCCAAACATGTAACCAATGTCCACAACGTCAAGATGAAGGAAGTTATTATTGGAGGGAAGGCCAATTGTCCACCTGGAGGTCCTCCTAGCATGGAACCACCGAAGGAGGTTAAGAAAAAAATATTAAGAAATCTAAAGATCATTCCTCAAGGATCCCTCTCTCCATGGTTGATGTTATTGGAAAAGGTACTGATGAAGGGGACAAGGTTACTAAAGTTGATGAGGTCCATAAAGAACAATCGAAGAACATCGACCAACCACCGATTCATATGATTATTCCAGTCAACATTCCAAGTAATACTCAATCCAAAAACCAAGAAGAAAAGTGTAGCAGATAAAAGTAAGAAGGATGTTGCTGGTACTAGCAAGTCTGCAGGCAAGAGGAAGGTTGCCATTATGGTTGAGATTATTGAAGATGATGTAAAAGTCATTGTGAAGAAAAACAGGAAGATTATTGGTGGAAAGAATATCCCTTCTAATATTCCCCTTGCCCCTATGGTCAATGTCTCATTCCATTATGAGGAAAGTGTTTTGAAATAGAAGTATGTCTACCACATGAAATTTGTTGTTGAAAGGAAACTTTATGAAGGTATGATTAAGTGTGAGGAGATTATAGAGTTGTAGTAAGATTCTCAGGCGATGAAGATTGTTTATGGTCTAAGTCCCTTTTACCCTCATCTTGTGAAAGAATTCATTGTGAACATATCTAAGGATTTCAACAAAGCTGACAGTAAGGATTATAGGAAAGTTCATGTTCGTGAGTGTTGAATTGAATTTTCATTTGTTGTCGTCATTAATGATTATCTGGGTCGAAGCAAACTGATAGATGTTGATAAGGTTCCAAATATGAAGACAATTGCTCATAAGATTATTGGTGGCACTTATGAATACTGGCCCCATAAAGGACTGTTCCCCTATACTAATCTAAGTGTGAGGTATGCCATTATCTATAAGATTTGAGTTGCTAATTGGGATCCAATCTACCACAACTCAGGTATTATAACATCACTAGCTAAACTCATATATCAAATAGGAACTAGGGTTACTTTTGACTTTGGAGAGTATGATTTTGAACAAGTCCTTAAACAAGCTAAATCCTATGTTGTTAAACTCCATATTAGCTTTCCTGCTCTAATTTCAGGTATTCTGGTGAGTCAAAGGCTCGATATTATCAGTAGTGAAAAAGTTGAGGGTGTGAGCGAAAGTCCATTATCTTTCAATTACAAGCTGTTTGTCAAGACACATGTTCTAGACATGTCTATTCCTAATATTCTATTTAATCTGTCTAATGAGAATGACCTCCTAAGGTCCATCCAATTTTTGACACTTACAAAATCAATATTTTATTGGAATGGATGCAGGTTTCTAAGTCCATTCAAGAACTAATTGTAACATCTACTGATCACAAGAACATAGTAGATGAGTTGATAAAGATGATAGTTCCAAAGGGAATTGGTGCTTCAACTTCTCAGACTATTATTTAGGTATATGCCATTGCCAGGACAGATGACAATGAGGATGTGTCTAGTGTAAGTGAAGTTGGATATGCATATGGCTCTTCTGATAATGCGGAAGATTAAAAGGTTGTTTGATTGATGATGTTTCTACACCCATGCGTGGCTCATTTTGAAGTTTTTTTAAAAGCCTTATGGGCAGGATAATGGTTGCTTTTGTTGGTCCCAGTATTCTCATATTTTTTCCGGTTCTCTAGATTTCTTCCCCTTCCAGACCGTTTTGGTTATTTTTGTTGACTTCTCTCGGATCCCTGTCCATTTTGAGGCAAATAGTGGAGAAACAAAACACATTTTGAATGCAAGATTTTCGGGTGTTCTCTTTATGCTAGTATATGTTTATCATATGACTTCCATGCATGAAGATTTATGAAAGTTGTTATGCTCATAAGGTTGCACATGTTGCATGTTATATTTGTCTAAAAATTTTCCAAAGGGAAAGATTGTTGTTAAATGTGATTGACACATTTTTATAGTCAAACATGTTATATAAGATGTCATGACATGTTGTTGAGACATTAGGTCTCTATGTGTTCAAAACAGGTCACCAAGATATGGATCCAGTTGTTTCACACATGTTAGAATACTCTACACCAGATGTTGATACGCATCTTCAAGATCTTTTTTCAGATTTGTTTCTTTATTTTTCTACTCATATATGCGTTTTTTGGAATTAGGAAAGAATTCCTAAAAACAATGACATATTAAGACCAAATCAGTGATTAAATTTTTATCGAATGTAGATTAAAAATAAAATTAAACCACTATTTGATTATGTGTTTTTTATACATTACTTCTACAACAAGTTTTGCAAAACCCCTAAAAGATGTTGGAGTTGTCATTGTTGGCTATTTAAAGGATTCATATCCCCGACAGAAAACTCAAACCTTTGAAAATTAAGAAGACAATTTGTGTTGATTGAGTCTTTGTAGTTTTGGTATTTTACATTGTATAACTCTATTCATTAATCATTCATATACTAAGGAATAAGGTTTATGGTCTTGAGTTGTAATATTTCTATCATTCAAAATGTGTGAAATATGTCCAACACTAAGTTTAGTTGTTGAGAGGAAGTGAGAGGGGTCATATTTATGGGGAGTCCTAAATAAAAATTCACGAATAATATTAAGAAAAAAAGGTAATAAATTATAAGAGTTCATTTAAGACTAATTTATACTTTTACTATTAAGAGTGAATTTCCTTTTTTAAATCAACGCCCTCCAGACATAGTTGTGTTTACATCGAACTGAGTTATCAATTCCTCGTGTTCGTGTTATATTTTATGTTTTAGTTTTACTATTGTTTTCGTGTTGTCACACACTTTGTCTGGCACATTGTGTTTGACATTTGTCCAAAAGAAGTATATAATTTCAGTATTGAAGTAAGAATCTGACTCTAGATAATTTCTCGCATAATGTGCTTCTTCAAAGTATGATACACAATAGTCATTGGTGTGACCTTCACCATAAAAAATAATCACCTCCGTAGCACTGAACTAGATAAAAACTAAATATGAACAGAAATTGAGAAATTAAAAT